TCAGTCAATAGAAAGACACCCTAGGTATGATTTCCACACAACCATGTTAAGCGTTTTGAATGTGTTCAATTGTACCCATGATCATAAAGTCTGCTACATTTTGAATGAGTCCAAAACAAACATACATCACATCGAGTTGCAAGGCAACATACACTAACTTTTTTGTACATGCAACCATAATATATAATAAGTCTTTCCCATCAAAAAGTTTACGATACTACTTTTTGAAAAAATTTTGCACTTAAAATACCTAAAAAAAACGCCTCTTTCTTAATAAAAAGCCACATCTCATCTTGAGCGTCTAAAAAGGTATCATCTTAAGCAACTTCATCAAGTACTATCATAATTTAAATAACAGTTTATGTATTATCTCAAGTAACCCATGGAATTGGTAGTAGATATAAGCATTAAATATTGAGGATGTAATAAATTTTTGAAGATCTTGTTTCGTTCTGACCTAATTATAAAATATTGAATAATAAAAAATTATAACGGGGATGGTAAATTTTTTTAACAGTAAAACAATCAAAGAATATTAACTAAACAACCAAGAAATTAAAATAAATAACACCGTCGAACTTGTATGAATATCTTTAAACAAAAAAGTTTGCGATAATATCATTAGTCTTCCACAACCTTCCCCTATTTTTGATAACATAAAATAGGTATATTTTGGGAGCTTTAAAGTTGGTTTGAATAATTATATATGCAGCTGATTTTTTTAAAATAATACATGTATATTAGGATTTAATAAAATCATATCGATCAAGTCCATGCATGCGGACTTTTGTTCAAGGAAGAAGTTGAAGTTTAAGAAAAAACTTTAATATTATGCTAATTTCAAACAAAAATAACTTATGCAAATATACAATTATAAAAAAATATTATCATTTCTAATTAAACTCAATACTAAACGTTTGTTTTAAAAAAAAATCTATACACATGTGTATATAGTTATAAATTTATATGCAAATGAAAAAATGTTATATTTTTGCAAGAAATTATTCATCGATTTTTAAGCGCTCTTGGATACAGTTATTGGATAGAGTTGACTTTTCTTTCAAGAAAAAATATAAATCCTATATATTGTGTTTAATGTTGTGTTTAAAAATAATAATAAAAAATATTACAGATTTTTTCTTTTTAATTTTGGCCAGAAATAAAGTTTTTCAGTTTGTGTGAATTAAGCATGGGCGTTTGACGGTCCGTTAAAAACCGTTAACTTCCATTGCGTTTAAAAAAATTAACGAAATTTTCATTAAAATCCGTTACGTTAAAACTTATTAACGGTAATTTTCCGTTAACGGACGTTAAACTCCGCTAACAGCCGTTAATTTAGTATTTTAATACTAATTTAACGGCTGTTAACGGAGTTTATTTAAGAATAAATTTCAGTAAGTCAACTTACTGAAATTTATCAGCTAGAAACACTTTTTGTTAATAAGTAAACTTATTTAAATTTAAATTATACATTTTAAACTCAAGTTATAAGTTTAACAAATGTACAAAAATGTTTTAATTTTTTCATTAAAGCTGTAAATTAATATTTTAAAAATTTATATTAATACATTTATAAAATAATCTTTTGAAATAAGTATTATAAAATTTTCGTGTATATAAAATTTTTAGCAAAAATTTTATATAAATTAACTAATTTTATAAAATCTTGAGTTCGATAATCGAACTGTATATTTCAATATTTTTTTTTGCTCCTTGTCTTCATTCAACCAAACGTCAATTAAACGAAACTTTTTTTTAAACAACTGAAACAATTTTTTTTATTTAAAACTAAACGATATTCAACGGAAATTAACGAAAAAATATCGGTCCGTTATAAAACGGAAATTTTCCGTTATTACCGTCCGTTTAAATTTTTTAATGTAACGGATGTTAACGGAAACGGATGGATTTACCGGACGGAAAAATCAAACCCCCATTATTAGTGTGAATTATTGAGTGTCGTTTTATTAATTACATCAGTAGAAACCAAGTAACGAAACCATGTCATTAACGCTTTGAACTAACGACGTTCTTTTAACGCATTGAACTAATGACGTTCTTTTTTTTTTGTAAGATTTGTTTTGAGCAAATTTAAGCAAATAAAACTTATTGAGTTTTTGATAGAGTTGTTAACCGGAAGATATCGTACAATTCCGGAAAAATAAAGTTCTTTCGGAAGGATATTGAGAATCAGAAATTGTTTTTTTTCGTACCGAATTTTACAAAACAAAAAAAACCGTCGATGTTCATTTCGCAAATGCTACTTACGAAATGCACCCTTTCGCAAGTTAAATTGCGAAATAAAAATATTTTGCTTTATACGAAAGTAGCGCTTACGGAAGCTGCACTTGCGAAACGAGCTCTTTCGCTAAACGACGTTTTGAAGTTTATAAAAAAATTTTGTTGGGCAAATGGATATAATTGTTAAAAAATAAAAATTTTTTATATCAAAACGTTAATAATAAAATTTTATTTTCAGTATTGCAACATATAAACATTTTAAGGTTTTATTTTTTGAAATAATGATAAAAAAAACCAAATTTCTTTCTTTCGCACCGCAACTTGCGAAACAGTTCTTAACGGAAAAAAACTTACGAAACGCGGCATAATAAATATATTAAATAAAGTTTTATGAATCAAATACGTATAATTAACTAAGAACTTAAAAAACTAGTTTTATATGATATTGATAAGTTTTAGTTTTAAATTTTCATAAAAAAATCAAGACTTTCGTAAAATATACTTTTTCAAATGTCATTTAATGAATAAGAGTTAAATAAGGAAGATAACTTGAACAACGTTAACATACGAATGCAATTGCGTAATCGGGAAATAATGCCTTTGTTGAAATCAAAAAAAAGACCTAATTTAAGTGATGGATGCTAAAACTTAGTTATATAATAAAATGCCTAAAAAGAGCTTTCACTTGTTATCTAATAGAATAATTTTATGTTTAGTCAGTTTCATTTTTTTTATTTTTGAGGTGCTTTGTTGTTTGCGCTTTCGCTTTTATGACTTCAATAACAACAAGTAAATTTAAACAAATTTTAAAGACATCCTTTTCAATGATTTCTTCTAAAGTTTTTTCCTTTATATAAAAAAAAAGTCAGGGTCGGAAGTTGGGAAGGGTATTTTTCGCAACGGCCTAAAAACACTTAAATTTTGTACCAAATATTTTACTTAGTTTTTATATATGAGAATATAAATAGTACATCTCCATTTCTGCTGAGTCAAAGGCAATAAACAACCAAAAGTTGGAAGTAAACCAAAGTCGGTACTTGATAAATATAAATATATATAAATACTGACATAGACTCATGTTGAGGAGGGACCGTTGCCCATTCCTTCAAAAGTAACTCAAAGTTTCAGTTTTTGTTTTTTAAATTTTAGCTGCGTTTGGCCCCCTTAATTTCTGTTTCAATCCCCCCCTCCCCTTCATCCTAATAAACCTTTCTAGGTCCTTAAAATAATTGTTTAACTTAAAGCAAAACAAAACAAAACCAGTTTTAAAGCTATTCTGCTCTACTGTGCAGTGGTAAAAAATAAGATTTCTAGCGTACGTTTAAAACGCGATAGTGCACGTTTTAAATGCATCGCGCATTAGAAAGGAAGTTTCCACTTATTAATTATTTTACGAGAAATTCTTTTGTATTCCTACCGCTGTCTCAACATAATGCTTATAGGCTTAAACTCTCTAATGGCTGGAGGGGATTTTTTGGTGATTAAGGTAACTTTCAGAACGAAAATAAAAAATGTGAACAAGATCAGACCAAAATTTGAGACGCCCTTGCCCCAATTGGAGAAGCACTTTAGGGCTTTTTTGTTTCCAGACCTCCTACATCACAAATTTTTGCAAAGCCTTTTCATTTAAAATAGGTATCAACATACTTAAGTTTGGAGTTTTCACAATGTGTAAAAGTTACAGTTTGATTGCTTGTTTATTAGGTAATTTTGATATCAAAAATAGTTTCAACTTGATAAAATAACGCTGATAACACATATCTTTAATACTAAAATTAAATATTGCTTAATCCACAAAAAAAAAGATCTTGAAAAATATGATGTAGTTATAATATTTTTGTCAAAATAAGCAATATTATGCACAACTTCTCAAAAACGCATTATGCACTTTTATTGAGATAAACAAAATGAGAGTAACTACAAGCGCAAGGTATGTTTGTTGCCATATTAAATAATATTTTTAATACGGAAATGTTAAAAAATGGTTTTGCCTCCAAATGCGGTTATGCCATCACCCAGTGGGCACGGAAGTTAAAAAGGACGTCTTTTAAACGTCTTATACACGTTTTAGACGTTTTCTGAACGTCTTTTGAATGTTTTGGACGTATTTTAAACGTTTAAAAGACGTCTTTTTTACTTCCGTGCCCACTGGGCAGTTCCTCATACATATGAAGCTAAATTTAAAGTATTGAAGTGAATTCTCCCATCATTTTCTTTATTTTCATCATTTTCCCATCATTTTCTTTTTGAATTTAGTAAACCTTTAAAGCGTTAAGGCTAAAGGAGTATTTGATGTTTTACTCGAGTGTCTTCATTCTTATTAAAAAAAAAAAGAAGAGTACTGAACATTCAATTAATTTTTGCAACATTCCATGGCATGAGCAGCAGCGATATTATGATGCAAAAGAAGCGTTAATAAAGTACTAACTAAAATAAATTCCTTCTGATATAGTTTGACTTGTGATTAATAATAGATTTGAATTATCAATAGGCAATTTTGAATGATAATCAGTGACTTCTTGGGGCCCGGGGCTATTTTTGTATTTGGAGGGTTTTTTATGGGCCAGAGCCTAAAATGACTAAAAAAAAAACGGTCCTTTAAATTTTTGGGGGACCCTAAATTTGCGGGGCTTGGGGCTATAGCCCCCCCCCCCCCTTTGATCCGGCACAACAAAAAAACTTTTAATTGAAGAGAAAGAGTACAAAAATACTTTATATATAAAATATTCTCAGCGCCAGACTATTAAAACATGTTAACCAGGTGTTAGGCTCTTAAAATGTTCAACAGTATAAAAATGAAAAAAAAGCATTATTTTTTTGGTGAACTTGTTTACACACAAGTTTAGTTATTTTGCTAACAATAGTTGTTACTATTCCAGACTATTTACGGTTTATCTCGGAAAATTAGTGGAAAAATTAGTGGAAAACCCGGATTGCCCGTTTTTGTGACCTAAAAATAACTTTAAAAAGTTCTGATATAAATATAATGTACAAATAATAAATTTTAATTTCTAATAATGATTTTTTGTATTTAATACTTTTAAAAGTTTTAATATGGGTGTTAATAATAATGAAGGTGAAAACTTTTTTAATAAAGTAATTCAATCGTTTTCGCCTGGAATTCTATATGGTTGTGCTTATGGATCTGGTGTATTTAAACAAAACGGACACACATCAGTTAAAAATAACATGATAGATTTTATCTTTGTTGTTGAAAATAGTTTATTGTGGCATCAACAAAATCTTTTAAAGTACCCACACCATTATTCATTCGTAAGGTATTTTGGTACAAACTTTGTTTCTTTTTTAAATAAAAACTATGGAGCAAAAGTTTATTTTAACACACTAATTGAGTTTGATAAATCATTAATTAAGTATGGTGTTATTGAAATCAAGGATTTTGTTAAAGATCTTCTAGAATGGAATACTTTATATATAGCTGGAAGACTTCATAAGCCAGTTGTTGTTTTAAACTCAATAACTGACAACTTAATATTGAAATCAATCGATGCAAATTATTTGTCAGCTTTAAATACTAGCTTATTATTGTTGCCAAAAATATTTAGCGAAGATGAATTGTATTTAACTATAGCAGGTTTATCGTACACAGGAGATCCTCGAATGATTGTAGGTGAGGATAAAGGAAAAGTCAAAAATATTGTTCTTCCAAATAAAGATAAATTTCAAAAGTTATATCAGGATATTTTTCTCGGAAATAAATCTCTTTGTTTGAGCAATGGTGTATTTGAACAAGATATTTCTTTAGATGCACAGTTAAGTTTACTCCAATTGTTGCCAAAAAATCTTCTTTATAAAATATCTTTCTTTAGCTCTGCAGTTTCAGAACGTGACTTTATATTATTAATAAAAGATAGACCCAAATTTCAGAATGTTATTCAAAAAAGTATTTCAAGTATAGTGTCATCATCAAGTACTACACAAACTCTTAAAGGAGTACTAACAGCTGGAGTGCGCAAATCTGTTTTATACAGCTCATCAAAGCTTTTGAAAATGTTTAAAGGATTTTTGAGATAAATAACTTTATAGTTTTATTGTATTATACCTATTTTGTTAAAAAATTTTTTAAATTTTAATTTGAAACTTATAAATTTTGAAATAAATTTGTTTTTTTTATAAAAAAACGATTTTAATCATATTTTAAATGCTAATTAAAAACTTTTGTGTGCACATGAAGTTTCATTTGTATTTTAAATAAATGTTTTTATTTATTTTAGTGAAATACATCATTATCTTTATTATCATTAATAACATCTTTATCATTATTTTTATTATTATTGTTAATATTATTATTATTGCTTTTATTTTAATTATTATTATTGTTATTATTGTTGTTGTTTTATTACTTTTATTATTGTTATGATCATTATTGTTATTGTTATTATTATTATTATTGTTTTTTATTAAAACTTTTATTATCTTAGCTTCATTCTTGATGCAACAAATGATTCTCTGAAATACGAGATACATCAAGCTTTTTCTTTTGATGCCCCCACTGCTCCCTCTCTATCAACCATCTTGAGGCTCATTTGTTAATCACTATATCTATTGTAAACTTATTGCTTATAAGTAGAAACTGTTGAACTCCCTTTAATTTCTATCCTACATGGTTATGTTTTAGAATTTTTTGAAAATTTCAAAGACTTTGTTTTTTGTAACAGTGCTAAAAAAGGAAATGATGAAAGTTTATATGAGAAAATTGAAATTAAATTCTTTAGACTGTCTCATATGAAGAGAATTTATTATGAGCAAAAAAAAAAGTTTTTTTTATTTTTATTTTTAACAATATATTCAGCACAATTTTTGAAAACTCTAAAATAAAAAAAAGAATAAAACTTTTTTTTTGCATATTAAATGTATGTCTCATTAAGGCCAAGGGGCATTACAAATAAAGAGGCTACTTTTTTATATTGTCAAAAATCTTTTTTTAAACTTTTTCATAGATGTGATGAGATGATTGAGATCTTATAAAGTGAGTCCTTTACCGCTGTACTGCTATATCAATTTATAATTTATATATAGAACAAATAATAAAAATGAAAAAATAAAACTATTAGTAAAATATAATTATAAAACTATAATAATTTTAATGTCTATGGTTTGATGTCAAAATATTAACAATATGGTTAACATTGTTATTTGTGGGGTTAATATCGATTTCCCATTTGAGCCTTATGAATGCCAAATAAAGTACATGGAAAAAGTCATTACTTGTTTGCAAAAGGTAAAATATTAAAAATTGTGTTTTATAAATTATTTAATTTTTTTTTTTACATATTGAAGCTGTTTTAAAAGCTGAAAGCTTTAAAAAGGTTTATAATTTGTCTAATTCGCACTATGATACCAGGGTTTCTCTAATTTATGAGGTAATTTGTTTACTAATGACCTATTTTTCTGATTGAACTTACAAATGGTAAGAGTTAATTTATTGAAGTAAAACATTGATATTCATACACGCAAAAATTAAAAACAAAAATCAAATCTTATTAATAATTTTTTTTTATCTAATAAAATCTTAAAATAATTTTTTAAGTTTTGAAACTTTGTTTTATACTTATGTTACAATTTCCAGGGGCTTAATGGTTTGCTTGAGTCACCGACTGGAACAGGAAAAACACTCTGTCTTCTTTGTGCTACTCTAGGTTGGAGAGAAACATATGTTGCAAGGCTACAGTTAGAACGAGTTGGTAAACTTCAACAAAACGCATTTAGTGATAGTTTAGGCTCTACTTTAGGCGAAGCTTCTGGAGAAAAAAATGCAGGGGGCTCTTGGGAGAGAGGTACTTCTTTTTATTGAAATATATTTTTATATTTTTTTAGAATTCTATGTAAAAGTAGGGCAATATTTAAAGTTTTCCTTTCTCTCAGATTTTCTTCAAATTATTAACAACAGTATCTATCAATAAAGCAAAAAAAAAAAAAAAAAGAAAAAATTTAATCTTGCAAATTTAATTGTTTTAAAGGTTTTGTAATTCAGCTATTTTTGCCTAACTCAGGGTGGCCACTGGTGGTAAAAATCATGGAAATGCCATAGAATTTTGTTTATCATAGAAAAAGTTATTGAGTTTCTTTGAATGAATTTTCCATGAATTTTCTTTGAAGTTTATGAAAAATTCATTTAAATTTACCATTATATTGCAATCAGTCAGGTCAAATCACCTTTTTCAGAATATAGTTTAAATTTTAGTATTCGTTAAAATAATATATCAGTTTAATAAATAATTAAAAAGTATTCTTAAATTTTGTTTATTATTTTGTAGGTACTCTGGTCACCTTGTTTATTATGTTATTTATTTTTGCAAAGTTTTAAATATGTTTTTGCAAAATGTTAAAAAGTTTAATTTAGTCTGTGCAATATAATTTCTTATTAAAAGATAGTGTAAAAAAACCTAGTGCTTGGCATGCGCTCTTATTGTCGCCACTAGGTTTCTATAAAGATAATGTGCCTTTATTTTTTAAGTTATGATTGTCAAACTTTTGTCATTTAAAATGTGAACATGTGAGTTTTTTTCAGACAGATGACTTTCAGAATGATTTCCACTTTCTAACAATTAGTTTTTGATATCCATGTTTTTACAGGGTGGCAAGCAGTCCTTGAAATCCTTGAAATCCTGGAAAAGTCCTGGAATTTTATAGATCCTGGAAAAGTCCTGGAAAAACACCCCTTTTTACAAAAAATCCTGGAAATCCTGGAACTTTTTTTTATAGAGTTCAATATTCCGTTTTCTTGTTTTCATCTTTTACAAAACTTTTCGTTTAATTATGTATTTTCTGGTATGATAAAAATATTTTTAATAATTTTACTATCTGTATTATTAATTCTACTAAATATTTAGAAAATAGAATATACAAATAATATATATAACAATTAATATATAATATAACTAATATAATGCCCAAGTCAAAGAACTGTCGTTTCCAAACAGAATGGCTTTACAATAAAAAGTATTCTTCTTGGGTAAAATTATGTTTTTCAAAGAAAGCAAGATGTAATTGGTGTCAAAAAATATTAATATTTCTAACATGGGAGTATCTGCATTAAATTCTCGTTGGTAAAAAGCATAAAGAGCATGCAAGAACACATAATGCAGCTGATATGTTCTTTACTGGTAGTTTTTTAGTTATTTGATTTGATTTTTTACTTTTTTTTTGAATTTTGGAATGCTTAAAGCAAATTGATTAGCTGTGCACTTTACCGGATATTAATTTTTTTTTTACGCATTTCGTTCCTAGATTTTACTACAGAAATATCTGGCAATAACTGCTTTTGTTAACTTACAAGAACATTTTCCTAATTCAAAAAATGTTTTAAATGACAAACTGGCACAACCTACTATAGAGGATCTTCAATCTCCAGCCCTGGTTACTAAGGCTGAAATAATAAGGAACTTGAATGTTGTAATGTCACATTTTTCGTTAAGATTGTGCTTAAATTTAAATGAAATGTTTAAATCTATTTTCTCTGATAGTACAATAGCATCAAAGTTTGCATTAAGCAAAACAAAATGTGGCTACCTCATAAATTTTGGTTTAGCACCATACTATCGAGAGCAACTTATATCTGCAATCAGAGCATCACTCATCTTTGTTTTGTCATATGATGAGAGTATGAATGTAATCTTTAAAAATGAACAAATGGACTGTGGAGTTAGATACTGGGGTTCAAATTCTGGTGTTGTAAAAGCTAGATATATTGATTCTTAGTTTCTCAGACGCCCTAATTCACAGAATTTATTTGACAAACTCATTGAAGCAACAAAGATCTTGGAAAACTAGCTTAAGTATCAATGGATGGTCCTAATGTTAATCGGGAGGTTCTAAAAATGTTAGATAAACATAGACAGGAAAAATGATATTATGGTATAGTTAATATGGGCAGTTGCAGTTTGCACATTGATCATGGTGCTCTACAGACAGCAATAAATTCCCAAAAGTGGGAGTTAGAAAAAAAAATTTGTGCAATGTATAATCTTTTCAAAGAGTCACCAGCTAAAATAGATGAATATATTAGAATTTGGGAAACTGATCTGCTTGCTTTGCCATAAGTATGCATATTTAGGCAGAAAGAAAAAATGATAATAAATTATCTTATCTTTTATATTTATATATAAGTTAAGGGCATTTCAGCATTTTAATTTTTGGATTTTATTGTTTCACAGTTTCTACGCAACTTGCTGGGTAGAAGATGAAGGTGTGGGATCTAGAGGCATTATTGTATGGCCAAACATGGTTGAAATTATAAAATATTGGGAATCACTATGCAAAAGCAGACGTCCTGAAAATAAGATCTATGAAGTTCTGGTAGATCATCATCTTCACAATTTTGTACCTTTGCGAATGCAGTTTTTTAAAGAACTTGCTAAAAAATTGAAAGGATTTTTAGTTCTATTTCAAACAGACAGACCTGCGGTTGTATTTTTATCTAACAGTTTAGAAACATTTTAAATGAAGCTGCAATTGCATATAGTTTTATAAAAATTTAAGTAGGTAAATCCAGGCCTTGCGATGAATAAGAACTGCGCGACGCATAAGCACGACGTGATTTTTGACGTCATTAAATTCTTTTTATTTGCTTTTCATATTTATCGACATTAACTGCACCAATTTATTTAATTACCGCAAAACTACTTTAAATCGTTTATGTAGAAATGTTATTATTTAAAAATGTTTTGGAATGTTTCGTTTTTTAAAATGTAAAAACATTTGTTTATTATCTCGACGTTTGTCACGTTTTGTCTATACTAAACGAATAAAAAACATTATAACTTAAATTTAAAAAAGATTATAAAATATGCTAATATTTGATTTTTTTTCTTCTTAAATATGTCATTTAAAGTTTTTCAAATAATTATTTTTTCTTTTTAAAAAGTCAGCGAGTAATAAACTGGAAATTTTAATATTGTACGATTAAAAACTGTGCAATAGCTAATATTTTTACAAGCGATTTTATATAATATTTATTTATTTATTTTTATTTATTTTCATAAAGCGGTTGATAAGCACAATCACTCGTATTAATAAAAAACTTAAACGAACGTTTTGAATAGATTTTTAATGTTAACAAGGAATTTTATTTCTAGTAAAATAAAATAAAATGTTAGAATAAAAATCTTATAGGTATAAAAGAAATATTTCAGCGAAAAA